GATTCCGACTCATGATCAAGTAGAACTGCTCCAAAGAGTTTTGGGAAGCAGACTACAGGGTGGTATTTTTGAAATGCCACACAAGACCTCTTCAGAGTACTGAAAAGCAAGGATGTTAATTTGAGGACTAAGGTGAGCTGCCTGGCCCAAGGCTTCCTATTTTCTATTGCTTCATACGCATGTGAAAGCTGTACATTGAATAAAGAAGACCGCAGAATCGAAGCATTTGAAGGGCGGTGCTGGAGAAGAATCTCGAAAGTACCATGGACAACTAAAAGGGCAAACCCATGTCTTGGAAGTACGGCCAGAGTGCTCCTCAGAGACAAGGATGGCGAGGCTTCATCTTACATACTTTGGACAGGTTGTCAGGAGACCAGTCCCTGGAGAAAAGACATCATGTTTGGTAAAGTAGAGGGCAGCGAAAAAGAGGAAGTCCCTAAAATAAATGGACCAATACTTAGACTGCAACGATGGGCTCAGGCATGTGGAAAACTATGAGGATGGCACGGGACGGGCAGTTTCCTTCTGCTGGGCACAGGGTGGCTATGTGTTGGAACTGACTTGGTGGCACTAATAACAACTGGTTGAGCTTGACCCACCAACCTTCTGGTTTCCTAATCCAGGGTGTGACCATTGCACAGCTCAGGGATCCCTATAAGATTACAGCTACTTAAAACTACTCTGAGATGTGTGAGGGCACCAGGAAGCGGAACACTACTGGACAGCCATGGGTTTCATTGTAGTTTGAGTATCCCCAAACTTATAATTAATACTTACTAGCAACTTCAGCCTTCCACAACTTCCAAGAACAGCTGAAAGCTATCCATTAATGTAGATCCCTTTTACATCTGTTTCTAACTACATCATACTATTTTCAAATATGCTAATATTTCCTTCATACTAATAGCATTTCCCACCCAAGCCACCACACCCCTTTAATTCATCAAATATACACACAAACCCACATAAAACCTTCCTTCTCAGAGTTTCACCAATGTCCTTAACTTCAGTGTCTTCCTTTCCACATTTCTAAATCAATGTTGTTACCTGTTCATCATTGCCTGGCTTATCTATCTATGATGAGTTCCAGGACACCAATGGTTAAGCACGTGTCTCGTAACCCAAATAAGCTTCCCATTCAATCCTTCTAGGCACTGGCTCTTGCAGTAGACTGGCTTTTGTGCATTTAATCCCAGCCCTCATAGCCAAGCAATAGAATTCACCAGATATATTTTATAGCACTCAATGTCGACAGAAAAATGAATAAATGCTGAACTAATTAAGTCCACTGTAAAGTTTTTTTTTCTTTCAAGTAAAAACAGTGCCTTTTCATACCCTCAAAAGTTTCCTCAATTTTCCTGATTTGATCTATTCCTATTTTTACTCTAAACCATTTTGAGAAGAATAAGAATGTCTAAAAAGAAAAGAAAGAACCTAGCAATAATTGAATCTACATTAAAATCTCTGGAATAGTTATAGAGCTTTAATCTAGTTAGATAAGGGCTTCTCATTGGCAGCGCCCATAGTGCTTGGCAATCACTATTTACTGAATGCCTGAAGGTCTCATAATTCAGGCCCATAAAATGGTCTGTAAGGAAGTTCTGTAGGAAGGTCTTCATGAAGTCTACCAATTGTCTGACTTCAGAAATGCCTGTAGAAAGCTGTGGTCACTAGTCATAGACACAGAGGACTTTAAAGCCCACGGTGACATGGTTTCTAGATTTCTTATATCATGTCCCATTAGTCGCCCATCCACTTCAGTAGCTTTCACACAGTTTGTAAAGACTTCAAGCCTGCTCCTAACTTAGACACTCACTTGCTATTCCTTTACCAAAGGTGTCTTCCTCAAATACATACATGAGGGGCTTTTAAAAAAAAAAAAATGAGGAGCTGATGCCAGGGGCTTACGTAAAAAGCAAATGTTTTGAGAATGATGAGGGTAGCAAATGTACAAATGTGCTTTACATAATTGATGTATGGATTGTGATAAGAGTTGTATGAGCCCCCAATAAAATGATTGAAAAAGAAAAAAAATTAAAAATAAATAAATAAAAAATCCTTAGAAGAACGGTATTAAAAGCTAATAGAATTTATTCATCAACTTTTAGCATCCATACAGATCTCAGTATGAATGTCATTTTTAAGAAACCTCCTCTGCATTACTTTGAATAAATTTGGCTCCATCCCTTATTTATACACAAGCCCATAAATTACTCTACCCTTTACTGTAATGTATCTTCTTTGTAATATTATCATTAACTGAAGATATTACGTGTCAATTATCTTCCTCCTTCTCCACAAAAGCGTCAGCAGGGCAGTAATATCATTCTGACTTGTTCAACACTGTGTTTGCAGGGACCATTTTAAAAAAACAAAACAAAATAAAAATCCTGCCATCGAGTCAATGCTGACTCACAGCAAACCCTGTGGGTTTCTAAGACTGTAACTGTTTACAGGAGTAGAAAGCCCAGTCTTTCTCCCTCTTAGCTGCTGGTGGTTTCGAACTGCCGACCATGAGGATTACAGCCCAATGTGTAACCACTATGCCAGCAGGGCTTCTCATTGGCAGGGCCCATAGTGCTTGGCAATCACTATCTACTGAATGCCTGAAGGTCTCATAATTCAGGCCCATAAAATGGTCTGTAAGGAAGTCCTGTAGGAAGGTCTTCATGAAGTCTACCGATTGTCTGACTTCAGAAATGCCTGTGGAAAGCTGTGGTCACTGGTCATAGACACAGACTTGACTTACTTGACCACCACACTCACCGCTATGGAATCCACTGAGTCATGGAGACCCTACAGTTGTTGAAATGCTTAAATAAATGAGCAAAGGAAAAAACAAAGACATTTACATAGAGGGCCCTGGTAGTGATGATACATTGGGCTGCAATCCACAAGGTCAGCAGTTTGAGACCACCAGCTGCTCTGCAGAAGAGGGGCTTTTTACTCCCATAAATAATGACAGTCTAGGAAACCCACAGGGACAATTCTACCCTCTCCTACAGGGTGTGAATCAGCATTGACCCGACTGCAGTCTGGTTTTTAGAACACTAACTTTGTGCAAAAGTAGTTTTCAACCAAGAGTTGAACTCAGGCTCCCAAACTTACTTGGTCTACTGCCTACTTTTCAGGAGGGAAAAAAAGCTCCCCACTCCCACCCCCGCCCCCCACTCCAACCTGGCAATTAAAAACTCTTGTACTATGGCCCGTAATCTAGGATACAGTGCAGGTATCTGCTTTTGTAGGCTCTGGGATCGTTCTAGTGCCCTCTATGAGGCAGTATCACCTACTTTGGTCAACACTGGCCACTCAAAGAAAATAATTTCAACAATGAAACCCTAAAAATGCCCAAGATACTGTCCAAGAACAATGATGCCACATTGGTTTTACCTTGATACACAGCTTGCGCTCCAGTCCACGCAAAAAGGCTTGCCATAGCATTGGCTCGGAAAACAACTTCTATCTGATCGCCACAGTTTTGTCTCAGGAGCCGTTCCCTTTTCAACTTGTCGGGTAGCAAATGGAACTGGGTGTGACCATAACAGTACGGGTCTGCTGTCTTGGAACCTGAAGAACGAAACAAAAACCTGTCACATGAAACGCACACTTCAAACATGTCCTTAGTGCTAACTTCACAGGCATCCTCTCTACACATCACCAACTCACACAAGTTGGTATCACTGATTTTCTCATTGTAATAAACGTAACCTTCACATGCAGGTACACTTTCTTAATCTGCTAGCTACCCCCAAGTCCACTATGACAGGATAAGCACAAAAAATTAACATATAAAACCTACTTAAAATTTAATGTTTTAATTATACTTCTTTCTCTCCAATCCTTAGTCATTACTGGAAGCTTTGTTATCTATCTTGTCATATTCACCAGTGGATACAAATACTTGATCATTTAAAAAAAATGTCCTCGTTGTTTTAATATAATGATTAAATATCTTGCTCCTAATAGTCTTTTTAAAAAAGAACGTTAACACTACATTTAGAAATAAAAAACATGGGCCAATATTTCATGAACTGCTGGTCTCCTTGGGTTAAGCAGTATCTCTTCAAGAGAAAAATTCCCGTAATCCACTCCGTAGGACCAGTGACTTGACAAGGAGCTGATTAAAACTGTCTGGAGGACTAAGTCTTAAAATACCCCTCCACTCAACTAGACACTACAATGGAAGGAAAAAGACAGACCTTGGATCTCACCCGTTTTTGTTTCTGATGGCTACCACAGTGCCGAGCACACAGGAGAGGCTACTGCCCGAAAGCAAACAGCCAGTCCCTCCCTTAAATATAGTCTCTGAAATCTGTATCTCTAGGGATATCTCTAGAGAATACATGAACAAAGTCCAATGAGCATCACAACTTTTTTTTCAGTTAAATACTAATTAACTACCAGTAAGTGCCAGAAAACTGTTAGTCACCTAATTTGGTGTCAATTTAAGGATTAAAAGTGTAGGGGTGGAGTCTAGGCCGGCAATCTGGAGACAGTCAATGACACTTCTGTGTGGTTATGGCCTCCTCCTAAGAATTCTGGGAAATCTGGGACTTCCTCCTTGGAACC